GTCTGTGTTGGTGATAATACTCCATTCAGGCCCCAACCCATTCTATTCCCCTCACCTATTCATCTACTTGCATTTATTTAGTACCCTTCCCATAGGATAGCATCTTGTAAGCAATGCACAGTGGCATAATTGGACACCAAGCAAGGGAGAAGCAGGAGGGGAGGGGGATTATAAGTACTGTCCAAGAGGTAAGTCTTAATACCCCTCTTATTCCTTCTACATTTATGCATCAATTTTCTCTTAAATACATTGATGCTTTTTGCCTCAATCACAGCCTTTGGCAGTGAGATCCCTTTTTCACCACTACATAAAGAGCTTTCTTCTAAGCTCCCTATTAGCAGTCTTAAATTAATGCTCTCTAGTTTTGTTTCAATGGAACTCAACAGGAATCTTCAGATAATAGCGTTCAGATAAAATTAATTTGATAATCAGACGTCCTCAGAGTTAAATTAATTTGATAACTGGTGTCCTCTCGGAGTTAAAACTGGTGAATTGATATATGACTCACCAGTTTTAACTCTGTGAGGAGCCAATAATATAATTCAACTTTATTTGGATGAGTCATCTCTAAGTCTTGACCTGCAATGTACAGACAATGTCTCCTTTACTCCCTTTGTACTTCAGGGTCTTTGGATCATCTAGTTTTGGTTGCCCAGGTTACTAAATAGCAATCATGAGCAGGAACGGTAGCTATTGTTTCCCCCAACCTAGAGATGCTGAGGTCGTGATGATGTATTGTACAACATTCATCTTTTATGATTTTCTGACTTAAAATCATAAGGGATTCAAAGCGAGTTGATAACGTAAATTAGACAAATGATACATGGGTTCTCCCAACTGAGAACATCCCACCATTATCTACCTCTATTGCCTTATGAGCTAAATCAGATTTAGCTGCAGGATTTTTGTTCTGGACTTCTAATGAGGAATACAAAGTTATTATTTCAACATGTTTCACTAATACAAATTATTTTCTCACCAGGCTTCTGCAAGAGAAGTAATATGGGGCATGCTGATTACAATCTGTTTTATTGGAGCAATAAGTGTCCTTCTGGCTATTTTAGTAGACGCTGCATTTGTCCTGTATTTCCTGAGTGGAGAATTAATTTATTCCATATTGTTTCCACAACTTGTCTGTGTTCTCTTCATTCCAAATACAAATGCATATGGCCCAATCTTATTGGGCTCACAATGAGAGTATTAGCTGGTGAACCTTTACTTCAAATCCACCCGTCGTTCAATATCCATGCATTTCACATAGATATACACACATACATAATATATATAATAAATATATAATAATATATATATATACTTTACAGTATATTCTGTGAAGCGCTTTGAGGTGTCTAGAAGACATGATAAGGCGCTATATCAAATGCAAGGGTTATTATTTATTATTATTATTTCCTTTGAAAACAGAACATTTATGCATCTCTTGCCCTTTTGAACCTTCACAATGTTGCTGTCCTTATTTTCCATTGTGATATTCTCATATCTCATCTCATTTTTATTTGAGAGAAAGCTGCTACCTACACGACTGAATGTTTTCAATATTACTGTCAAACCTCAGGAGGTGGAATCACCCCAGAGGAAGAAATTGCTTTGCGTGATCTCCCAGACCCTGACAGGAAGCGACTGTAGAATTTACTATCAGAAACTTTAATGCAGCCGCATGTCTCCATTTATATTTTAATTCTTATATCTAACATTTGCCTTTCATTTCGGGAGAACATCTCAAAACGCTTCACAGGATTTATTGTAAAGTGTAGTCACTACATTTTTTGTAGGCAAACACAAAGACTCATTTCTGACTGGCTTAAAATTTTTCGTTGCCTCTATCCATCTTTTGATGTTTAGATGTTCACCCACTGCATTACTTACACCAACCCCAGACTGACACAAAGTTATTGTAGAAACCACTATTAAGACTTTACTGCAGTGGTGGCCATCCCATGGCCTGTGGGAACCTCAGTTTGCATTGGTTTGCGCTAGTCAATGTTTTAAGTCAATGTTTTGTTTCCATTTTTTTCTTGATTGAATATTTCTTGATTTATGGCATGCATCAAGAAATATTCAATCAAGAAAATCTATTTTGTTGTCTGAAAAACAGATAGCCCACTGCTTTAAAGGAATGAACCACCTCCAGTCAGTGATAGATTTGTTAACATCTCAATTCTTTGTTTAATAGTTTAACAATCTTGGGTCCACTGTAATATAGAGCTATCCATCCCAGAGCCAAGCTGCTGATGGTAACACAGTTACCACATATATATACATATATATATATATTTGTTGGAGGCACTAGAAAGAATAATTGTGAAGAATTGTGGGTGAATTGTCTTGGCTTAAGTTGTTTAGGATGCATTATGGATATGTTGCTGTGTATTTTGCCTATATTGGAAAATTACTGAAATTTGTATTGCTTTAAGTTAAATTTTGCTGATGATTGTACCAGTGTAATTTTTGTAACCTTGCTGGAAATTAATATTGCCTTGTCTTTAGCTAATGTTCCTGCTTGGTTTGGTATGGTAATAAGAAAAATGGGATGTGTAACCACGTGGGCTTTGTCTTCTGTAAAACGCAAGACAAAGAAGTTGTGTCTGTGTGTATTAATTAGGTGGCCTTTGTAAAGTGGATTGACTGTGAATTGTGTGGGCGAAACGTGGCAGCCAATTGCACACGGCAGTGTTCCACAACCAGTCAACAAGCAAAACATGTTGAAAGGGTTTTGAAAACAGGGTTTTGAGAATTTGCCAGCAGAGATTTTAGGAGGGTTATAACCCCTACTCCCCGGTTACCAGTTTGAAAGTGATTGACAAATCCTGCTGCTAACCCCTGCTTTGCGCAGCTGCTTTTCAAGCCAGGTCAGACCAAGCCTGCACTCCGGACACACAGTGCGACTGTGTTCTCGGGCTGGAGGAAATCAACCCCCGGGCTGGATGCAGCCCGCGGCCCACCAGCTGATGTAAGCTGCATCCTCCTGCATGCTCATTGGAGCTCTTTGTTTGACTCCAAACAATTGTTCAACTAAATGTTAACTTTGATTCTGGGTTTCTGTACATCTTAAGAATGCACAGAAATTCAACTTTAAGAGTTACTTAACTCTGAAATGCTACATAAACAGAGTAATCTAGATCCAGTGGAATATTTCTCCTTAAATAACATCACCTTTATTAAGGTCAACTTAATCAGAATACATATCCTAATAATCCTTGCGTTTAGCAGAGCACTTTTTATCACATTAGAAGGAGGTCGCAAAGCTCTTCATAGGATTTACTGTGAAATGGAATAACTGTATTTATAGGCAAACACGACAGCACAATGGCGCACAGCAATATCCCACAAACAGCCATGGAATGAATGGGCAATTTTACTTGGGGGATTATTGGCCAGGACATCAGAAGAAACTATTTTCTTTTTGTGAATAGGGTCACGGGATCTTTAACATCTACCTGAACAGGCAGATGTGACCTCGGTTTAAAGTCTTATCCAAAGGACAGAAGCTAGGAACTTCCACCTATGAGACCAGAGATCTGAAGTTGTTCAATTTTGGTCTTTAAGATCATTATCTTCAAATTTAAGATGTACTGAATTTTAGATATGTATTCAATCTGGCTTAATTTCTAAAGCTCTTAAAAACTATGAGTATTTGGTGTGTATACCTAAGACTGACTGCTGGTTCAGGTACCCCAGCTCTCTACAGAAGAGCCAACTAAAAATGTCCTGTTTAAACTATTCCTTTGTAGGATTTATTCCAGTAATATTTTCACTCGGATCTTGAAAACCGCTTAACAGAGGTGGAGCCTGACACCAAGCTGAGGGGAGGGAGGAGGTGACCGTAAGTCCGGCCGAACAGAAAGGTCTTCAGGCGTGATCTGAAAAAGAGGATGGTGGAAGCAAGGCGAAGGGATTGAGGGAGAGAGTTCCAAAGTTTTGAAGTGTAATGACTGAAAGCACTGAAAGATGGCGGACCAGATATATATTATATATATGTATATGTTACAGTAAAATTGTGAAACCAGGGATTTTGCACATTACCAGCAAGACCAGGAAATCAAGTTCACATTCCAGCGTAGAAATCACCTCTGTTGTTAGGCTAGATGTTAGGCCAACACAAGCTTCATTACCAAACATAGCAGCATAATGGCAGCAATTTATTCCTGAATGGTGAGCAGAGTTGTAAATCCTTCAATGCAAAGTGAAAATGTATCTCCCCATGTCATAGAATCCTCACTTGTGTTAATAAATGAACACTTGACTCATCATTGAATCAAATGTCACTTTTTGACTCCTAATTTCAGTGATTTCGTGGTTTCACAATTTTATTGAAAATTTCAAAGATTTCGCGAAATATATACATACCATACCAATGGTGATAATGCATAATATTTATCATCTTGCCCTTGTTCACTAACTCTGTCACGTTAAGGAATCAGTTATGTATGAACTTTCCTATCCAACATCATGAAGCATGTCAAAGCAACAATAAGATGCATTTTTGTCATTGATGTGGAATGATGATCAAATGTGAGTCACTGTTTTAAACGCCAGTTAATTAAAACAAGCACAGATGAATAAAAATTAAAAAATATTTTCATATACTCGAGTAAAGCTGTTTTTAACAATATCAAATATACAAACCATCATAATAAAATCTTGGTACAATCTGAAGTGTAGAAATTTCCCTTAGCATTTCAGTATGGCAAAATTCTGTAAATTGTTGATATCAGTTTGAACTTTGAAGCAATGTGTAATTATTAAAAAAAAACTTATAGAAAACTGACTTCAAAATTAAGAGTGTATTTAACTTTGTCAAATTTTGAATGTCTGAAATACGAAGAAAATAAAGTAAATCTCGACCTAGTTGGATTTTATTCCTTTTGGACGATAATCTTGCACCAAAATTAATTTTCTAAGTTAGAACATCAAAACTATGTGGATCAACTCCAGTGAAACAAAGCCAAAAATAATTCATTAGCCTTTGTGAGAAAACCACATACACAGAAAATCTAACTCTTTATTGTAAGATTAAAATAATTTCAAAACACCATATTACCAAACTAATCTGTGTCCTTTGAATCAAATATTTAATTGGAATAAAAACACCAATAACAATATCAATAACAACCCTATAGATAAAATAATAATAATCCTTGATTTGACATAGCGCCTTAACACCTGGTCATGACGTATCAAAGCACTTCACAGAATATAAATGTAACTCCCCATGTCATAGAAACCTCACTTTTGTTAATAAATGAATGTAAAATGTATTGACTGACTGACTGTGGGTGAAACAAATTAAAAAATAAAATTATCTGAATGCAACCCTTCTGTACTGTCATCTTGTGCATTTCTATGATAATTATTCCTGTCTCTCTCCAAAAGGAAGGAAACCAATAACTGTAGTGGTCACAAGACAGATTCAGATGAAGAAGGCCCTTCAGCCCATTTGATCTCATTCTACCCTCATCATCGTGTAACAGCATTAAGCCATTTCTAAAATGAAATCAGTGTCCTGGCCTCAACCACCCTTCCTGGTAACCTGTTCTAGTTCTTAACATGATAAGAAGCTGTATCAAATGCAAGGATTATTATTATTACATTATTACGTTATCATTGCTCCAGATATTCCTTAGTGAGTGGGAAACAAGCTGAAAGAGGATAAAACCCATAGCCGTAGTTTGCTCAGTGAAACAGGATCTAACTACAGAGCTTGATAAGATTTCTACTTGATATTGGTAAATGGTAGGTAAGTAGTTGATCATATAATTGAAACACTAATGATTTTGAGACACTATCATGTGAACGGCACTTGTAAATCTGTTAATTTGGTAAATTCTACAGTTGTTTCCGGTCAGGTTCTGGGCCTGGTTTATCATGTAAAACAATTTGTTCCTCTGGTGATGAAGGCATTTTGTCAGTAATTTTGAACACATCAAATTTTTTTTCCAGCAGTCTGTTCTTAAATAAAAATGAGGCCAGATGTGAGAATATTACAATAGAAAGTAAGGACAGCAACATTGTGAATGTTTTGAATGGAAATAACTGCACATACTTTCCATCCTTGAAGAACATGCCTGGATATTGAATGAAAGGTGGAATTTGAAGGAAAGATTCACCAGCTAGTATCCTCATTGTGAGCCCAATAATATATCCTGCAGCTGATCCATATGCATTTGTCTGTGGCACAAAGAGAATACAGACAAGTTGTGGAAATAAAACTGCATAAATCAATTCTACACTCAGGAAATACAGGCCATAAATAGACTGGGATAGAATTGCCAGGGTGGTCGCTGCAGCTCCAAAGAGAATTATTGTCATCCTCATAACCCATATCACTTCATTATCAGCAGCCTGTGTGGAAAATAAAAAGGCTTTAATAGTAAAGTACAACAGAGCTCCACTTTGTTCCCCTCATACCCAAATTAGAAGGTGGTGTGATGGCTTGGCAGATTCTGTACTCTCAATTCTCGCAGCATGTTTCATGCTTGTGACCTTTCCTAGTGAATTCCGAGTCTTAATCAGAGTCTTTTGTATGCTTCTTACAAGAAGGGCACCTCTCCAGATCCTTCTCATTACTCTCAGTGCTCTGAAACACTATCCTGAGTGAAGGAATAGTGAAGGAAGCTATAATGCAAGTTTTTGTACTGGTGGCCCTGTGTCAACTACATTTTTTTTGTAATAGGGAGACTAAATACTCATTATTACCTGCTAAAATAATAATAATCGTTGCATTTGGTATAACGGATTTCAGGAGGGTGTCTGAAAGCATTGCACAGGATTTACTTTAAAGTATAGTGACTATTTTGTAAGTGAACACATCATTCAATGTATGCACAACAATGTTTCACAAACAACTATGTGGTGAATGCCAAATTTTATCTGTTGGCTAGGACACTAGGAGAAACTCCATTTTCTTTTCCAATATAGACATGGGGCTTGAACCCACAACCTTGTGATCAAGAGTGCCAAGTGCAAGTGCATAGCAAATAAGAGGAAGGAAATCATGAATAAATATGAATTTCTAAACAATTCAAACATCTATTTACCTTTTTCCTAATGATTTTCTTGTAGATATTGCGTGAAAACATTGAACTTGTTGCTAAAAGTGAAGAATCTGCAGATGACATAACTGCTGCTGAAATGGCACCAATTCCCAATATAGATATGTAACCTGGACACAGATGCTGCAGAACAATTGGTAATATCATGCCTGATTCCTGTCTTTCATTGGGAGTTGGTAAACCATAGCTAGTTTGATTCCAGTCTGGAAGGAATAAGATATGCAACAATTATGCTAGATTTGATCAATGTCAAGATAATATCCTTCTTGGGGGGATGGGGGACGCTGTGTGGGTGAGAGGTAAGCGGGGCCTCCTTGGAGTTGAACTGGCTCCAAAGTGACATGCCTGGCAATAGAATGTCAGAATCAAGCTAGCCCTCTGTGGCAGTCTTGGTAGTCTGGTTCCTGAGCCAGGCGGGTCTGCAATATTCTAACAGTGCCTGGAAGGGCAGACCAGTCACTGGGGGTAGGGAGTCATCCCACTGAGCTCCTGTTAACCCCTGCGAGCCAAAGCCCTAAAGGGTAGGGTGATCATAGCTGGACAAGCAGCGAGAAAGCTTGCCGGACAGCAATATCAATGCAAGCTCTGAGGGTTCAGCTAATTATGCTCCAGCAGTACCCAAATGCACACTCTGGGATCCCCAAGCCTTCGCTTTTGCCAACCTGCGGTCAATACTTTCTGGAATTAGGTAAGCAGGATGCATCCTTCCAAGTCGAGAGTGCGCATTCCAACAACCTATCTCTGGGATTCCCATGTGTAGGTGGGATGCCTGAAAATATCAGCTTGGTTTGGATACTCTTGAGTGAGGTAATGGGTTTTTGCATGTGTCAGACACCACAGCTGACCCCCCCACAAAAGTTAAAAAAAATCCTTGCATTTGATATAGCATCTTATCACGTATTCAAGACATCTCAAAGTGCTTCACAGAGTATACTGCAGAGTGAATTGACTGTGGACGAAATACGGCAGCCAATTGCACACAGCAGTGACCCACAAGTAGTCATGTATTGAATGACAATTTTTTTTAAGGGATTATTACCCTCAGAAAAGTGATCCGCCAATCGACTAACAACCAGGTTCCTATTTAATGACATAAGAAATGCTATACGAGAAAAGACTAAGGTTCATCTAGTTCGCCTTCCACCTTCCTGGCAGTTGCATGCATATATGTCCCAAACTACCTCTGTAGTATATCCATGATGTTATATAGGACTATCTCTGTTTGAAAGAATCAACACTTCAATTTACTACTAGGTAAACAGAGGTGTGTGGACTAAGGAAATTTGCCTAACGTTTCGAACTCAGGTCCTCTCGCTTGTGAGGCGAGTGCTATAACCACTAAAGCTACAGGACTCCAAATAAAGTCAAAACAGGGGGAATGTTGCCTTTGGATAAGATATAAACTGCCTATTCAGCTGGTTGTTAAAGATCAAATGACATTATTGGAAAAGATATTATTGCCCTAGTGTCTTGGGCAACAGATCTCAAGACAACTTAGTGGTGCGCCTTATAACTGCTTGTGGGACTTTCCTTTTGCAAATTAGCTGCCACGAATCAGGCATGATATTACCCATACAGTCACTATACTTGACACAAATGTCCAACGGGGTACCATGAGAGGTTTTGCTATCATGGGCAGCATATCAAATGCAAGAAAGCCATTAAGTTTTAAAGAGAAAAATAACACTTTCCATATATAGTCTATTCACTGCTCTGTGCCACAGGACAGTAAGAAATAAATTGTTATCCATGATCTTCCACACGACAAACTTCTGTGGCCCCAAATTCCTCATGGTCTTTGCATTAAGATATTGCATTAAAATGTAAGATCATGAAGAGTTTTGAATTTTTTTTCAATTCAGTCTACATTTGGAAACTGCTTTCCACATTTCATAAAAAAACTTGCTGTTTACCAAATAAAACCTGAAATTCAGAATTTTCCCAAATTATGCACGGTTTTAAATTTTTAAATGATAGTCAGAAGATTAAGACAATGAGAAATTTCAGGCATGAAATCTCATGCCACGATAGGGAAACCCACAAGGAAATGCGTACTGGACACATCTGTTACCTATTGCCTGGGGATGGTAAGAGCAGGGAAGGAGAGAAAATAACAAATACCAATAAAACGATAATGGAGATAGACTATATGAATATTTTAGCTCCTAGTGGAGCAGCTGCTATCCAATTCATGAATACATCAGAATGTCCAAAACGCTCAGTTTTTGTGTCTTAGCTACTGTATAAAAATAGAGCTAGCAGTAATAATAATCCTTACATTTGAAATAGTGCCTTATCACTTCATTGAGACATTTCAAAGCACTTAAAGTGATGTGACTGCGTATTTTGTGGACAAATACGGCAACCAATTTGCGAATAGCAATGTCCCACAAATTACCATTTTTTCAGGGGTTGGGGGAAATGTTGGCCAGGACTTGTGATCTTTAATGTCAATCTGAACAAGCAATGGGACCTCAATTTAACTTCTCATCCAAAGAATGGCACCTTCAACAATGCAGTACACCTCTAACAGTGAAGCATACCCCTCACACTGCATTAGAGCATAGACTACATAAGTTTGAAGTCCTGATGTGGGGCTTGAACCCATAACATTCTGACTCAGTGGTGAGAATGCTACTTGAGTCAGGCTGCTCATAAGCTGCTAATGTTTTTGTCAAGGGAATTAAAACCTATTTCAATGTCTCACACCACAATATGCTATAATTGCAGGTTGGAATATGCAAGCTTTAATATCATAATAATCCCGTTGAGGAAAAAATAGATCCAACCTGTCTAATTATTTGCAGATTTAAGCATGAACTAACCTCTCTTCATCACAGTGGTTTGGTCCGTAGTAAGTTTCTAAATTTTCATCACCATCTTAGATTCCTCGTGGGCTTGATTCCTCTTCAACCTAGAGCCAGTTTTCTGCTCCTTCTCAGGTAGTTTTTTAAATTAAGCCTATAATCTTACTTCTGTGTGGAAGCTAGTGTGTTGGTAGGGTCGATGGTGAAAGATGTGTTTTGCTCTTGTTCTGAACTTTGGAACAATGGTCCAGGGATTAGATTTTAGTGCCATACTTATTGTTCCTGTAGAGAGTGACAATTCAGTTGCAACTAAGAATATTATCTCAATTGGTACCCTATAAAGCAGCCTCTCAAGTATTGGATTGAGGAGGCAGGGGGAGGGGTGTAGGAAAAGGAATTAGCCCTGCTCATATTATTTCATGATATGCTTTGTTGCTTTCCTTACCTGTGGAAACTGCAACTCCCCCAATAATGATGGAAGGCAAAGCCAAAATAAAGCAGAAGATGCCAGCCACATAAGATGTTATCTGTGCTTGAGGAACTGATGAAGCAGCAAGCACTCTCTGAAAATATACCTGCCAGGGAATTCCTCCCAGAATCTGAAAGAAATGAGTGACAGTCTCATATCTTAAAGTACAATTTAATAGCTAGAAACAACACAGAAACTGTCATCACATGTTTTTTTTCAAAACCTTATAATGCCTTAGTGATAGTTTTATCAGAAGTATAGAAAAAAAAGGGTCTGTAGTCTAGGTCAGGGTGGTCCAACCTTTGGGTTGCTGAGAGACGGATGCCCCATTTGAGAAATGTCCATGGCCACATAAGCAATATTTTTGTGTTTCCCTTCCAGAAGCATAACATAACATTTATGGGTTACGGAGGGAGTGGGTGGACCAGATGAAATGAAGGGAGATGTGTGGGCGGCGGTGGGCGGGTGGAGGAGTGAAACTGGGCTACGGGCCACCAGTTGGACCACCCTGGTCTAGGTCTATGATTTCTTAAGGAGTTGATATTCTCTATTTGTGGCAAACTTTGATCAACTATATGGTTAATTTACTTAAAAATTTTGGAGGTGTAACAATCCCTCCAAAAAAAATTGTTCACTCAATCCATGACTGTTTGTGGGACATTGCTGTGCACAATTAGGTGCTGGGTTTCACCCACAAAATACATAGTCAATTTATTTTACAATATATTTTGTGAAGCGCTTTGAGATGTCTCAATGGCATGATAAGGTGCTATATCAAATGCAAGGATTGTTATTATCATTATTTACCCTAATGAGTAAGGTGGTCCTAGCTGGGCAAGTAGCAAGAAGCTTGCCAGTGTTCACAATGGTAACCTGCAAAGATTTGGCTGATTAGACTCGAGCAGCACCCCAAAGCACACACTGGGGGCCTCAAGCCTTGGCTCTTGCCAACCTAAACTCTCCAGGATCTCTGGGGAGAAAGTGTGGACTCCATGTCAGACAGGAGGAAACCATATTTCTGTGCAACTCTCAGTAATTTGTTTTGAAGACTCTTAGGCATGATGATAGGTTTCCACATGGGTCAGACATCCATGTGACCAAAGAAAAGTCATATAACTTTTTTGATAATGTCCTGCAAAATAAAACTGTTTCATGCTTAACATTTACTATATTGCTTGTAGTCTGCAGACATTAGTGGGTAAAAATGTTGTTCAGTGTTTGCATGGGATGTGAGATTAGAGCAGGAAATCTCATAAAAAGCCAACATCATCAAAGGCTAAGTGCATATCGCTGAATGAAACTTTTGGTGTTGTGCACTGTGCTCTGTTTGCAATGGTAGCTCAGACTGGTAGCAATAATAAGGTTTTTATGTTGTGATTTTCATGATAGTTTGATCATTTTGCACACTTTCCAGCAGGAGTCTCTGGACAGCTATCATCTGGAACAGTGTCCATGGCTACTTTTTGTCCCCCCCCCCCACCTCCCACCCCCCCTAACCCACTGGTATTGAGCCCTATTCCTTATTGTAACCCCAGCTGAGCTCAGCAGACTCCATGTAGATGAAGATGTGAACCTGAGACCTTCTGGACTGTATAATCTGGTGCTGCTCTGGGCTGTGAACATTTAGCGCTTTAACTGTGGCACATCACTCCTTTAAATAAAATAATTTCAATACAATAATAATTAATACAATTAATCATTTTAATATAAAATAAAGGTTTCTAACCAGATAAAGGAGATCATCAATCCATCGACCGATATGGTTCACTTCCAGTTTTCCCAACCAGGGTTTCTGATAGAGTTCATTTAACATGGTGTATTTAATGTCTGCAACTGCTGGATTCATAATGGCAAAAGGCACACAACAACACTAGATAAGAAACACAAAGCAACTGTTAATGATGCTTTAATTTGTGTGTCCACCTATGGTAATACGCTGCAATAAAAGCTTCCGCAGGGTGAAAAATGGTGTCTCATGCTATGATCATATCATATAACTATTTTTCCTCCCCATAGATAATTTCTTGTAATTCCTCTGTTTGCCTACAAAATACTCAGTCACAGAAAATCCTGTGAAGCGCATTGAAACGGCTTCCTGAAAACAACCCCATTATATCAAACGTAAGGGTTATTTATTTCTGGAAACTCCAAAATAACAGGACATGCAATGGACTTAATTAATCAAACTATGATAAGAATACCAATCCATTATCTAGAACTATAAATATTTACAGCACAGAAAAAGGCCATCGCTTTTTTAAGAACAATCCTTTCATTTATGTAACCCTAGCCCTAATTCCTGTAACTTACTCCTTTTTACGTATTCAAAAGTTCCCTTTTGAAAGCTGAAAGGGATTTTGCCTCAACTCCCGGCAGGGTATTCCACATCCTAATTACTCTGTGTGTGAAACAAAAATTCTCCTAACCTCCCCATTTGCTTGTTTGCTAAACCATCTTAAATTGATGCACTCGAGTTGATGACATCAACTAGACGTAAGTTGTACTGAGACAATATATAAACAAGAACAATAACAACAAATTACACTTATATAGCACCCTTCACAATGGAAAGACATGCCAGGGTGCTGGACAATAAGGGGTTTTAGACCCAAGCTGGGAGTTGGGGTTAGAAAAGGAGGAGGGCGGTGGGAGTGGTAGGGTGGCCGAAGGCACAGTCAAAGAGGAAGGCTGATATGGGGTTATGAGGTCGGAGAGGTAGGGAGGTGCAAGACCTACCTGGAGGGCCTTGAAGGTAAGAACGAGGGTTTTGTACTTGATTCTCTGAGGAATGGGGAGCCAGTGAAGCCGCGCAAGAACAAGGGTATTAGGTTACTGGAGCCTGGTGTGGGAGAGGACACGAGCTGCTGAATTCTGAATAATTTGCAGCTTGTAGAGAGAACAGCTGGGAAGTCCAGTGAACAGGCAGTTGGGTAGTCAAGTCAGAATGTAATGAAAATGTGGATCAGGGTCTCGGCAGCCAACATTGAACTGGAAGACGTTGGCTTTTGTCCAGGACTTGATGTCAGACACAATTAGCGACGACATCAACGGTCCTGGAGTTGAGGGTGGAGGCGGCGAGATAGAGTTGAGTGTCATGCACATACATGTGGAAACTGACCCCAAGCCTGCGGATGACATTGCCGAATGGGAGCATGCTTATAGATTGAAGAGGAGGGGATTGAGGACAGAGCCCTGAAGGATGCCACACTTGACAGTGTGGGGGCTAGTGGAAAAGCCATTGGTGGCTACGAAGTGCAGACGCTGGGAAAGGTAGGACTGGAACCAGGCAAGAACAGACTATTGAGGTGGAGGTGAGAGGAGAGGCTGTGGAGAGGAATAGAGTGGTCAACAGTATTGAAAGCGGATGAGTGGTCAAGAGGGACAAGGAGTTAGAGAGCCCTGATCGCAGGTGGACTGAATGTCGTTTATCACTTTGACCAGGGCTGTCTCTGTGCTGTGAGCAGCATGAAACCCAGATTGGAGGGGTTCATTGAGGGAATGCTGGGAGAGGAAAGGGTGAAGCTGGGAAGCAAAGATTCATTCCATGACCTTTGATAGAAAAGGAAGGTTTGAAATGGGGCGGTAGATGGAGAGCAGAGAACAAGGGAACATTTGTTGAGGGTAGGGGTAGGGGTGATGACGGTTGTCTTTAGGGGAATGGGTATGGAGCCAGTGGACAGAGAGAGGTCTGTTAGTAGGGGGGCAAGGAGTTGGAGCTGGGAGGTGAGGAGAGGCGCAGTGATGAGGTCAAGGGAGCAGGTGGTAGGTTTCATATAGGAAATGATGGAGGTGAGCGAAGAGAGGGAGACAGGGTCAAAAGTGTGGAGGGATGGTGGTGGGGGCTGGAAGGGGAGCAGACGTCTCAAAGTGCTTCACGGAATATACTGTAAAGTGAATTGACTGTATATTTTGTGGGTGAAATGCGGCAAACAATTGCGCACAGCAGTGTCCCACAAACAGTTGTAGATTGAGTGACCAAATTATTATTGTTTGTTTTTCTTGAGGGATTATTATCAGGCGTGTGGAGTAAGGTAACTTGCCCAAGGTTTTGCACTGCCGGGAATCGAACCCAGGTCTCTCGCTTGTGAGGTGAGTGCTCTAACCACTGAGCTACAGGACTCCGGGTTGATGTGGAGGGAAAGGCTGTGAGAGAAGAGGAGGGAGGAGAAGTCAGCAGATGTGTAGCAAAAAGGGGTGAAGTGGAGGTTTAAGTCGCCCAAGATGATAAGGTGTTCAGAGCAGACCTATAGGGAAGACAGGAGGGTGGAGATGTCAGAAAGGAAAATGGAGGAGGGTTTAAGGGGATGATAGATGAGGATATATTTTAAGGAGATATTGGAAGGATGGTAAAGAGTGAGGTGATCAAATGAGCAAAAGGACCCAGAGGATTAAGAGGATAGACCCAGTGACAACCTGGAAATGAGGATCACACTACCACCACAAAAGTCACAGAGCATGATGGAAGGTATAGCCAGGTGGCGTGGCCTCAGTAAGGGGAACAATGTCGCCTGGAGTGATTCAGATTTCAATGAGAGCAAGGCTGTCGATTTTTTTGTCCACAATGAACAGGTTTCACTATTACAAACTGACATGTGGATTACAGCCAGTAATGGTCCCCAGAGGAATGAGCAATGATTAGACAAGTTACGACTCCTAAGCCCTAAAAAGAGATACGTCAAAGTAGACCTTATTAAAATAATATGAGATTTAAAAAATTGGATTGAGAAAATAAAACTTTGCTTTCAGATAATAATAATAATAAAAATGATAATAATCCTTGCATTTGATATAGCACCTTATCACGTTGTTGAAACATCTCAAAGCACTTCACAGAATATATTGTAAAGTGAATAGACTGTATATTTTGTGGGCAAAATACGGCAGCCAATTGCACAAAGCAGTAGCCCACAAACAATCATGGATGAGTGACCAAAAGATTATAATTTATAATTCTTTTAAAAAGGGATTATTCCCCCCAAGAAAGGGATCGGGCAATCGACTAATAACCGGGTTCCTATTTACTGCTAAATAGATAATAATAATAAGCCTTGCATTTGATATGGGTCCTTATTACATCTTCGAGACATCTCAAAGAGCTTCACAGAATATACTGCAAAGTGAATTGACTGTATATTTTGTGGGCAAAACGTGGCAGCCAATTGCGAGCAGCAGTGTCCCATGAACAGTGATTGAGTGACCAAATTATTATTTTTTTTTGAAGGGATTATTACCCCCAGAAATGTGGTACGCCAATCGACTAACAACCAGGTTCCTACTTACTGCTAGGTAAACAAAGGTGTGTCGAATAAGGAAACTCGCCCAATGTTTCGCCCTGCCCGGGAATCGAACCTGTACGTAACCTGGGTGTCAGGTTCGTTCCCCAGATGCCCCCCTCCCCCACATCCAGTCCCTGACCTTCCTCCACCTCTGTCACTTTGCCTGTCTTCCACCGGATCTCACCCCCAACGCAGAAGTAACCCTCGTCAATGCCTTCGTTATCACTCACCTCGACTACTCCAATGCCCTCCTCACCAGTCTCCGCAGCTCCATTACCCACAAATTACAACTGATTCAGAACGCTCACCCACAGTAAACTCCATACTCCCACTATACCAGTCCTTGCCAGGTTCCACCCGCTCCCTAGCACAGAATGGCTCAAATTCAAGATCCTGTAACTCGTCTACAAATCACTTCACGCCCTGGCACCTCCGTACCTTTCTGACCTGCTTTCTCACCACTCCACTACCCGCTGCCTCCACTTGCTTGCTTTGGGCTCCTGTTTGCCGCTTGTACCCTCCTCTCCGTGCTTATTGTCACCTCCTCACTTCACCCAGCTCGGCGTCACGCTCTGCCACTGTTAAGCACTCCAAGATGCTGTCCCGTGTGAAGGTTGCTATATAAATGCAAGTTGTTGTTGGGTGAATATTATTTTTATATGCTGAGATTTTTATCAGTGTTTTTAGCTGTTGTTTTTCTTTTTTTCACTCACATTATTTTAAATATCTTGTTCCAGCCACATATCATGATGTTATAGATGTGGATTCAAGGTGGGTAGTAGAAATGGTCCAAGAGGGAGGTGAAATTACAGCAGATTAAAAAAAGACTAATTTCTTTTAAGAAAAAGTTACAAATTTTAGATTAAATTCAACAATTTACCAAGTTGTGCCACAAATTATGCTACATAAATTGAGTAAATCTAGATCCTAATGGAATTTCTCATTGCATTAAGCATTTTGCAATGATAGTTTTCAATCAGTACTGCAATATTGTATAAAGGTCTAATTTGCATTTTGTTAAATCGGATTCCTTGTTAGAACATTTACGATAATTCCACCTGGAGTTAGAACCCAACAGAGTGGAGCTCAGAGTGGAGATCAAAATGATGCATTTTGGGAGGAAGGATGAGGAGAGGCAATATGAGCTGATGATACAATCTTAAAGGGGGTTAAGGAACAGAGAGACCTGGGGTTCATATAAGTAAATCTTTGAAGGTGGCAGGACAGGTAGATAAAGCTGTTAAATACTAGGCTTTATAAATAGGGGCATAGAATACAAAAGTCAGGAAGTTATGATGAACCTTTATAAAACATTGGTTGGGCCTCAGCTACAGTACTGTGTTCAGTTCTGGGCACCACACTTTAGGAAGGATGTCAAGGCATTGGTGAGAGTTCAAAGGAGATTTACCAGGATGGTACTAGGAATGAGGGATTTGAGTTATCAGGAGAGGCTAGGGAAGCTAGGAATATTTTCCTTGGAGCAGAGAAGATTAAGAGGAGACTTAATAAAAGTTTTCAAAATTATGAGGGGATCAATAGGGTGAACAAAGAGAAACTATTTCCACTAGTGGGTCGGTAACCCGAGCACTCCGATTTAAAATAGTTGTTAAAAGAAGCAGAGGGGAGGTAAGGAGAAAATTTTTTTACATAGCGAATTGTTTGGATCTGGAATGCATTGTCTGAAAGGGTGGTAGAAGCCGGTTCGATAACATCTTTTAAGAAAGAGCGGGGGAATGGGATTGAATTGGATAGCTCTTTTCAAAGAGCCGCCACAGTCACAATGGGCCGAATGGCCTCCTTCTGTTCTGTATAATTCAATGATTCTATGAAACGTTCACTGTTTGTATGACTTCCCTTGTCATGGAAATATACCCATTAAGAGATATCTCAGATTACTAGTATTTATGAACCCAGCTAATTGAGAAAAGCTTATCACTTACCAGGCTAATTACAATAAAAAATGTTTGTATCAAATCGGTGTATACCACTGAGTAAAGACCACCCAGCAATGTATACAAAATAACCACACAAGCAGATAAAATAATGGACACATAGATTGGAATATCCAAAATCACAGACAGCGTGGCACCTGAAATAGATGGAAATTATTGCCATTAATGAGCAAAATAAGTAACCTACTTAAAGAGACTGCAGTTTGCCTATACAGTAGTGCATCTGATATCTGCATACTGCATAACTGTGTATGCCCAAATCCCAAAAGTCCTATCAACAAAATCTTAACTTGCAAATTTGGGGGGTTAAATTTTGTTCCCTGATGTTAAAATTGCTCAGTTGTTTAGTGCAAACTTGTAAAGTTTTGAAATGTTAGTATTTTTCTACAGTGGCCACAATTTCATACCAATGGGTTTTTGTTAGGGCGCGTACTTAGGGCATGTTCATTATAATAATAATAATAATAATAATCCTTGCATTTGATATAGCGCTTTTCACGTCGGGAGAACGTCCCAAAGTGCTTCACGGAACACACTGTAAAGTGAATTAACTGTATATTTGTGGGCGAACGCGGCAGCCAATTGCGCACAGCAATGTCCCACAAACAGTCGTAGATTGAAAATTATCAATTTAATTATTGTTTTGGTTTTTGGAGGGATTATTATTAGGCATGTGGAGTAAGGAAACTTGCCCAAGGTTTATAACTTGTGAGTCAGATTTTTTACGTACCTATCAGATTACAGCACAATTGAATTTTAATTAGACAATTATTTCTAATTGTCCTATGATTTATAACATTGTATGCATTTTTACCCAAGTATTGTATGTTTTACACCATGTTTTGTGAAATCAAATATGGTTACTATACAGTGCATTGAATATGCATGATGATCTGATATCCAACTGTTTCCATATCCATAGTTGCCTGGTTCCAAGTAATGTTAAAGCAGATTCTCTATTGTATTTAATTTTCTGAAAAATTTTCTNAAAACTTACCCAATGCTGCAAGAATAGCTGCTGACCAAAATATGTCTGCGAATAAAGCTGGGATAAGGAGTAAACTACTCATGGTATTACCAAAGTAGATCTGAAATGGATCCAACATGGTAACATACTGCTTGGATCTCATGGGTTTAACAAAGACCAGACCTCCTGTTATTGAAAAATAAAAATAGCTTTAGCATTGAGTTCATTGTTCACAGGAAAAGACCAAAGCATTATACAAACTACACAAGAGAAGGAGATCATTTGTTTCAGTAAGCAACGTGAAACTATATGACAGGAAGTTGCCCTTTGGCCCACAGAACAATACATTATAATAGTCCATGCGTAATTTGCATTGCTAAGGTTTCACCATAATTCATTTTATCTCGTCTTCAGGCAATGAGGTATTCAGGTAAAAATCTGCAATCTCTCTCTGCTACTAAAATTATCAAACCAGAAACTATAGGATATAAACTTAGGATGATAGCTGTAAGAGATTTGGATGGAGACAACCAATACTGTGATGTAATAATCCAAAGTTTATTAAGTAATCCAAATAACCTCACATTTCTTAAATCAATATCGATTTCACTGGGAAGTGCGCTGAGCCCCTATGACAACTCCAACTATTCCAAAGTTACCTCTTTTGTTTATACCCCAATTTAGCCCATGTGACCCTTATAACCAAAATGGAAATCAAAGAAAGTTTTGTTCAATCATATCCAAAGTTTGATTAGCCAATCATATCCCCAGACTGTTTCATCCAATCATATTTCCTTACTCAGAGTACCCCATAGGTTATCGAGGTTTAATCTCAAGAATTTGTTCTCAAAGCCTTTGATACCATGTGTAAAAAAGTTTAGTTCGGCTGTTAATTGTTTTAGTTGACACCTTAAAGTTCTAATCTCCTTTCAAGACATTCTTTCCACCAGACTGCCAGGCACGAAGAGTTCAATTTATCAGGACAATGTCCCATTCAAGGGATTTCACACATTACTGTTAGGCCCCAATCTTCCAAATAAGGAAAGGAACAATACCAATCGATCAAGCTTTGATCAAACCTGGCACAGAACCCAAACACACCAACCTCAACTCCCCTTTCTGGTCCAAGTTTTATAACACATTCCTTAAGATCAACCAAGATATTTCTCCCAGTGCTTACACACACCCTGGGTATCAAACAATGATTTTGACCATAATCTTATATAGCACACAGATATACAACACTAATCAACGTCATTCAACTGATGATAGCAATAAGGTTCCTCTCAGTACCTGATCATCCAAGACAAACATAAAGCACCAATTTGTGAGATTTCTTATTCGGATTCCTAAATATAGAATCTGAGTCATGCAGTTGGGATCTCTGTAAATGGGAAGTACTTTATGCCAACTTGCGATAACAGTCTCTTACTCTAGTGCCCTAACTTTTCCTTCAAGAGACAGTATCAACTGACCTCAGAGGCAGCAGCTGATCCAATTTCCAGAAGGGTTCAAGTAAATGTTTCACTGGGAATGTCAATACTTTTCATTACAGGTTGGCCACATAATCTGACTTTCCTCTGCAAGTAAATTCATAATGTAAACATGGTATTAAATGTTTAACCTATTTTTAATGTGATGAATGACCACTTCCATCATTTTTGTATTGTATTTGAGAATAATGTTGCTTCTTCTTAAGTGGATCAGCTGCAAGATATGACAAACTTGACGGGCACTGCTTAAAAGATCTGATAAGTTGTGCCCCATGTGTACGAGTTACTGTGTTAAGTGAGTCACTTTTGCTGCATTGCTTTGTTTATTAACACTTACCAACTATAAGGCTGATAGAATAACCTATGGGTGCCTGTGTCCAGATTAGTCCCAACTGTGGAAGATATACTGCTTCAGCGATTACATTGATAAAACCTCCTCCAACCCATGTTGCTGCAAAAAAAACATATTGCCACTGAGGTAATTTTCTGCTACAATTTGGCGCTGCAGTTATTATAACAACTCTTATATTTTCATCTGTTCTGATGAACAGCAACAACAATTTGCATTTATATAGCACCTTCCATGTACAACATGTCTCAGAGCATTGTGAAGTACCTGTCAAACTTTTGTACATACCATAGAATCATAGAAGTATACAGCACAGAAGGAGGCCATTCAGCCGCTCATGTCTGTGCGGGTTCTTTGAAAGAGCTATCCAAATCAATCCCACTCACCTGCTCTCTCCCCATAGTCCTGCAAACTTGTCCTCCCCAAATAATTATCTACTTCTCTCTTGAAAGTTGTTATAGAATCGACTTTCACCACTCTTTCAGGCAATGCATTCCAGATCTGAGCAACTCGCTGTGTGAAAACATTTCTCCTCACCTCCCCTCTGTTTCTTTCAACATTTATTTAAAATTGGTGTCCTCGGGTTACTGACCCACCCGCCAGTGGAAATAATTTCTCCTTGTTCACCCTATCGAATCCCCTCATAATTTTAAAACTTCTATAAAATTTCCTCTTAACTTTCTATGCTCCAAGGAAAATAATCCTAGCTTCTCTAGCCTCTTCTCATAACTGAAGTCCCTCATTCTTGGTACCATCCTGGTAAATCTCCTTTGAACTCTCACCAATGCCTTGACATCCTTCCTAAAGTGTGGTGCCCAGAACTGAACACAGTACTCCAGATGAGGCCTAACCAATGTTTTATAAAGGTTCTTGACTTTTGTATTCTATGCTGTTATTTATAAAGCCTACTATCCCAAATACTTTTTTAACAGTTTTATCTACCTGTCCTGCCACCTTCAAAGATTTAGTTATATGAACTCCTAGGTATCTCTGTTCCTTTACCCCCTTTAAGATTGTACCATGTAACTTATATTGCCTCTCCTCATCCTTCCTTCCAAAATGCATCACTTTTGATCTCCACTCTGAGCTCCACTCTGTTGGGTTGGAAATTGTACTTCTCTATACCCAAGTCCCGGTCATTTATATAGAGCAAAAACAGCAGTGGTCCCTATATCGACGCCTGGGGGACACCACTGTACACTTCCCTTCAGTCAGAAAAACAACCGTTCACCACCACTCTCTGCTTTCTGTCTCCCAGCCAGTTCTGTATCCATGCTGCCACCGTCCCTTTAATATCATGGTCTTCTATTTTGCTTACAAGTCTCTTATGACATAGAAATGAGAAAAAGTCAATCAACCATTTACAACAACTTGCATTTATATAGCAATAATGGGGCGGGCAAGGCGGAGCGTGTGAAGCAAGCCGTAGTTTGATGAGCAGTGGGAGTGGGCAGGTTGGTAGGGGATTAGGAGATTGCAGAGGTAGGGGGGAGCAAGGCCTTGGAGAGCTTTGAAAGTGAGGGCCAGAATCTTGAACTGTATCCTCTATGTGATGGGAAGCCAGTGGAGTCGGGCGAGGATGGGATGATAGGGTCGTGGAGCCTTGTGCGGGAGAGGACATGGGCTGCAGAGTTCTAGATAATCTGCAGTCTATGGAGGGAGGAGTTGGGGAAGCCGGCAAGCAGGGAAGCAGCCTGGGTGTTATGAACGCTTGTTTGAGGGTCTTGCCGGCTAGCTGTGTGAGACAGTGGCGGAGCTAAGCAATGATGGAGAAAGGCAGAGATGGGGAAAGGCGGAATGGGTCATGGCATGGATGTGGGGTATGAAAGACAGTTGAGGGTCAAACAGGATGCCAAGGTTCCATATTGGCTCCGTAGGATGTAGAGTACATCCATGGAGATAGATACTGTCAGCGAGATATGGAAGCGCTGGCGGGAGCCAAGCAGGGGGTCCTCGTTCTTGTTGACATTCAACTGCAGGAAGTTAGCTCTCATTCAGGACTTGATATCCGACAGGCAGTCTGTGATGACAGCAGTGGTCCTGGAGTCAAGGGTGGAGGCAGAGAAAAGACTACGGGCAGCACGGAAACCCAATTGGAGGGGTTCAGAGAGGGAATGGCGGTAGAGCAAAAAGCGAAGCTGGGATGCATTGACTCATTCCAGGGCCTTGGAGAGGAATGGGAAGGTGGAGATGGGATAATAGCTGCAGAGTAGGGATGGGCCAAGGGAAAGTTTTTGAGGATGGGTCCTAATTCCTGAGAATGATGAATAAACACAGATAAAGTTTCCAAGAATACAAAACTCTTAAATATCCTCGTCACTGAGCTAATTTCTTGGTTCAGCAAGTGGGCCAATGAGAGCTGAACTGGCTCCAATGTGATGTGTGGATAACCAAAATGCTGGAATCAAGTCGACCCTTTCAAGACAGAATGCAAGCTAAAATAAGGTGAGATTTGAGGCTTTATAGATTTTGGGCTGAAGGTGAAGTCAAAGAGATGCATCCTCAGACATTTTTTGAAGAGAGAGGGCGAGGTGGAAGGATTTCAGAAGAGCGTTCCAGAGGGCAAAGATAATTTGGCTAAAATCTCACCTACTGATTGAGTGGAGCCTGTGTGTGTGTGTGTGTGTGTGAATGGGGGTGGAGTGGAAGGTCGGGGGGGGGGGGAGAGGGTTGGGCTCAAAGTAGGCCACAGTTGGTTAGAATAGAGATTGGCGAGCGGAGTAGGTTTGCAGGGTGGACCAAGGCTATGGAGGCATGTGAAGCAAAGTCAGGGATTTTAAAGTTGATCTGCTGGTGGGATACAAGTTCTTGCCCTACTTCAGTCATTTCAAAACCTACAAAGATAAGTCAACAATTGAAGATATGTCCACTTACCCGTAGTTGTGAAGATGCCAACTAAAAGTTGCAAGTTCCTGCCTCCAACCATGGCCACTTCACTTTTATCTCCAGAGCATTTTTTCTCTTCACGCTTTGATTTCCGAGAAGCCCAAATACCAATTCCAAGAATGAATAGGTAAAACATAAATACTGCCACAAGTCCAGGGATGTTAACAGCCATCATCAAATTATTACCTGAGGATACAAGGGAACAATGTTTTAAGACCCATACACACACATGCACTTGCATGCCTCATCACATTTACATTCACTAGAAACCTATTTATCATCTTTTCCAATATACTAATTTCCAGCACAGAAGGTATACCCTTGGCCCATTGAGTCAGCCCGAATTCTCAGAACAAGCTGATATTGTTATTGACTATGCCCAGCAGACTTAATTTCACAGTTGGATATTCTATTCCAAGTACCTGCTCCAGTCAAATCAAGTTCAGTTTAATTTTTCACTTTAGTGCATCGTCTAATTGCCTTTTTAACAATGTGAATGGTGTTATATAAATGCAACTTGTTGTTGGTTCCGCTATGAGCAATACTGACATGTAAACATCATTTGCAGCCCAGTTTTCATATTCAAAACTGACAGTCTTAGATTTTTTGCCCCGTATCTATATAGAACATTATGTGGCATTGCATTGTATAAACAATGGTGGCATATATGCCTTGCTTGCAGAGAACAATATGCTTGAATATCAATATTGCTCCAGGACACTGAAATAAACTTGAATAGTACCATGGAATTTTTAATGACCAGTCAAACGGGATACCCATTGAACACGACATCCAAAAGATGGTACCTCTCAACAGTCAGCCTAGCCCCAGTGTAGGACTGAAATCCACAATCTTCTGACTCAGAAACAAGCGTGCTATAAACTGAACCCGGCTGAATCCTAATAGTGAAATGATGTAATAGTGAGCCATAAAGTCCATACATACATCTGTGATCATTAGGGACTCCTTGTCCTCTGTTGAAATTGATCCCTTTGATGGTTAGTTTTTGATAGAATGGCTTAAGTTTCACCTGGGGGTAGTAGTTTGGTGCCAACAATACTTTAAACATGTACAACCTCTGCATTATTTCTATTATAGTCTCAGCAACAACTTACTTTGCGTTTACAGGGGCATTTAGAGAAGTGCTGGTACCAAGATGCTTGTTGCCATTCAAATCTCTCTAAATGAACAACATTGAACAAGTGGTAGGTGCTTTCTGGGTTATTGTTCTGTATTGATTGATCCAAGGGTGTAGGCATTTGTGGGTACAGTACAGTGCATGGCAGGTTGGACTTAAATCTCTGCTCACACCTGGGATGAAGATGTCAGAGGCATTGCCACATTGGCAGAGTTCACAGGTTGAGTCTTTATGAGCGGTAGTAACTGCAATTTGTTGACTCCCTGTTGCGTGGCAAGTGGAAGGCCTGCTCGGTTTTCATGAACAATCATGTATCTTGAATGTTGACCCCATTGAATTATGATGGCATACATAAACACCTGCTCAATGCTCCCCATTATTTTGGGATTCGACTGATATGCTGTATGACTTCTTTGTGTCGGCTGGTTTGCAAAGGTAATATGTGGTAACTTGTAAGAGGTTCTTTTCTTGTCTGCTGGAACCTTTTTCATTGCTGGACTTTTATATACAAAAAAAGTGACCTACTGTAAATATCTGCAATGTTACCAGGACTAGTACAATCTGTTTCTGATTCAAAATAAAATGGAGCATATAAACATTACTTATGTGTGTTGTATAATACACCTGCTGGTATTAATCTATCAAATCTTTGATATAATTGCTATTTTTTTCCAGTGTGACTAGCGCTTACAGTCTCTATTGCTGTGAAGGTCATTGTAGAAACATTTTGGGCATTTCTATCTTGATATATAAGACTGAATGCTTAAGCACTGTCTGACAAGCTTCCAACTGCTTTTCCAGGAAGGAACACCTGGTCCATTAGGAGAATCACTTGCAGGGTTAACCTGAAGTGGATTAACCCTGCAAATGAAGAATCCAAGTGGGAAGAATCCCTGCTCCTATTGACTGATCTATCAATGAACTATGCTGGACAACAAAATAGAATAAGAAGTGGAGGAGACTTTGCAGTAAATAAAGCTGATAGGTATATAGAATGGGCCAGCAGTACTATCCAACCCAAATTGACAAGTGGTCATAGATGTGGCCAATGAGAGACAGAAGGGCCACTCTATACTAAAAATGGGACTCGCCTTAGATACAATACGCACAAAACATCATACATATAGTATATAGCAATATACTGTTTTGCACATTTTTATGCACCGCATATGCTCTTTTAGCGTGGCAAATTAGCACCAGTAAGTTTTCCTATACAACAATAAATTTTCAGCAACAAAATTTTACTTCCATCAAACAACTGAAATGGTGTACTGTATCGATTTAATATTTCTACGAGTAGATGACATGACTAACTGGATTACGAGAACAGCAAATGCCTGACATAACTAAGATACCAGCGACTGACTGCCAACACATGAGGGAAAGAAAGCATTATGTCTCATAGGTGCATTTAACCAATCAGGAATAAGAATATCCCACGCAGAAGATGTGCTGTTGATGTGACATATGCACAATATATGATAATAAAAAAAAGAAAACAGCCCCGTCAGATCACACAAAGTGAGAGGTTTTGCAGTCTACGTTCTATTTCCTATGTGAAATTCAAGTTGATTCATCGATGTGGAAGGGGCTATATTTGAAAAGCAAATCGGTCACTTGTGGCCACTGGGTTGGATGGCACTGCAGTGCAGGTGTTGGAACAAGGGGCTATAACAGGTTTTAAAAAAGGAAAAATGCCTGTTACCGGAAATTAAAAGTACAACAACAACTTGCAATCATACAGCACCCTTCACAGGGTACGTCTCGGACCACTTAATTCAATGTATTATTAGATATGAGACCGATGTACCAAAGCAATCTTTTGGGAAATGGATGAAGGGGTAGGGTACATGAATAAATTATACTGCTTTCTGGAACTGTTACTTTGTAACATATTTAATTCCTTTTGTCACTCATTGATTTGAAAACAGCACCAAGATGGTTGCCCTTTGAACCTTTTTTAATAACTCTTTGCCTTTATGTAAGAGCAGAATTCATAACTGAAAAAGCGCTGTGCATACAACAACAACAACAACAAGATTCCATTTATAGAGCGCCTTTCACGTCAGGAGGACGTCCCAAGGCGCTGCACAGTTGGGTCATGACCCGAGCAGGGGGGAAATGGTCAGGGTGAGGGGAGGGAAGGGAGGGAGCGAGGAGGGGGGAAATGGTCAGGGTGAGGGGAGGGAAGGGAGGGAGCGAGGAGGGGAAGAGAGTCGAGAGGGGAGCTGAAGGCTCGGTCAAAGAGAAAGGTTTTGAGACCGGCCTTGAAGGAGGAAAGGGAGGAAGCAAGGCGAAGGCACTGGGGGATGGAGTTCCAGAGCTTGGGGGCTGAGAGGCTGAAGGCCCGACCACCGATGGTAGGGCGGTTGGGGCGGGGACGTGGAGCAGACCGGAGCCAGAGGAACGGAGGGTATGGGCAGGTAGGTAGGGGGATAGTAGGTTGGAGAGGTAGGAGGGAGCAAGGCCGTGAATGGCCTTGTACGTTTGGCTCATACACACATTGTGTAAACTTGTTTCATAAAATAACTTTTATTGATGCACTTACACTCCCAAAGGGATGTGTGTAAACCTGGCTCAATTGATAGTACAGGTAATGAAGCTGCCTCCGCCTCGAGTGACAGATCAGTGTAGGCCGGAGACCTCCCTCCCTGCTGCCGCTTCCCATGTTTGCCACAAATCCACCTCACTGCTTGATCCTGGACTTCGCAAATGATTTGGAGAAGCCTCACTGCTGCAACCCCAATAGATTGGATCCATAAAGGATGACTGTTTGCACACAAGCCTTACGTGCCACAGGCAGTGAATTGATTTACTGAACAACCCCAGAATCTCAGATCTCCATTTATGTGCAAAGCAGCCAGCATTTATCTAAAAGATAACAGTTGACAAAGGACTCACACCACAACCCATTCTCTGAGGAGATGGAGTAAGTGATCTAATAATAACATGTCACAAAATGAATGGCCTGAAAACAGGAAGGAGGCAGCAGAAGACGTTAAACCTTATTGGGATTATAGACATCATCAAAAAAAGGAATACTTTAATGGAGATACAATAATAATTCCAAAAAAGTTGAGATTTTTTTTCTGAAGAATATCCGTGAGGGATATTGTGGATTGGAGAGAGCAAAATAAAGAGCAAGAGAGGTTGTGTTTTGGCTCGAGTTTAATAATTGATTAATAATCCAATTTAATAACATTCCTTTTATTCTATTATATTTACCTCTTTAAGAATTTCTCTATCAAATTCACTACATCTTTCAAGATTAACCACAAATATTGCTAGTTTAATTTTAAACACCCAATGCCAAGGATCTCACTGAAGTCATTTAAAGACATATAGCAGACATCGCGTAACAATTTTCTCATCTCTACAAGCAGGAAATGGAGTGGGTGGGGGTTATCAGAATAAGGCCACACAAGACATGTATGGAGGGAGGGGGTGGGGGGAGAATTTGGGGGTTATCACATGTCAGTAAAATCCTTCACATTCCAAAAGCTTAATCAATCTCAATATTTTTAAAAACACCTTTAATTACGAAACAAAGGTCTAGCAATATCCAAACTCAGACAAATTGTTGAGAAAAGAACAATAACGGGACAAAATTCCATACCTTTATATTGTATTGTATCTTTTTACAGATATACAGTGTGCATGGTAATCTTCAATAAATCTTGGATCATTTGTGTCCTTCACAGCATGCTATTTGCTATCCTTTATGCTTACAAATCAGTGAAATGAACCAAACTCCAGATTTGTTCCCACTTTTATGCACTTTGCTCATCAGTTATTTCCTTGCCACTTGAGTACAAAGGTAAACACGATTCACATGATGAGACTTTGTGTGTTGTGTCATGGTCAGCCCTCTCTCTTATATAAGCTGTCTTTCTTTAATAATTATATTTTCTGTTGTTTAATGTATGCATGGGAAACTAACCTGTTGAAAGTGCTTAATGTTTCTATTATGCAAATTAAAGCATTGATTGCTTAAATGCGTTTATTGTCTGACCCGAATGCGCTCGGGTAAACCCGTACAAACGCTGAAAGTTCAGAAAAGATCTAGTGCATATGCATATTGGTTTTCAGTGTAATATTCATTTAAATACATTTTTAATGTATTTAAATAAGATTGTGACCTGGATGGTGCCATCAAATCTCCAAAGGCATCAGTTGCAACAATTTGGCGGGGTAACTTATCATTCTAATAAGATAAATATAAGGATTAGAAAGAATACTTGTCCCCTGTTGGGCAACTGTGGGGAGGATTCTGATTGGACTGTAGAAAAGGGCACCAATTACACTAAGCAATTGTTGCAGGTATATTCGGATTGGATACCCTAAAATGGGGAGGGACACAATGTCTTTAAAAGGAAGAGCACAAGGTTGCTCTTGGTTGCTTTTAGTTGATAACATCAGAAAAGTATGTGTCTTGACTGGCTAGAGGAACACACCCTCTGAGTCAAGAGTTGGTTCAGTGCACATACATTGATGTCATATTTAATAGGCTGTCAGCTAGTATTTGTTAAAATTGATTTGTGTAATTCATGGTTGTGTAATTCATTGTTATTTGTTGAAATCACTTGAGAACTATTTCTGAGGAGTTTGGGATTCTGAACAAACCATAATAAAAATACAGTTGAGTTTTCTTAACCGTGTCTCATTCGAGCTCTCTGCTAATTTTCAATATAAAAGGGAATAACACAAACAGGATCAGCCTAGGTCACAGAGGTATTCGAAAATAAATCTCTGATTGACTGAAGCTTCCCAGTTTGTATCGACTAAAGATCAATCTGGTGGTACTTGTTGTTGTGAAACAAACTCAATTAGCAAGAAACACTTAGAGATATGTTCTTGCACACATTAGTGAGAATTAATGAATTTCAATGTGAAGAAATGCGAGATAATGCATTTTGGTAGAAAGAATGAGGGGAGGCAATATAAGCTGGTAATACAATCTTAAGGGAGGTAAAAGAACAGAGATCTGGGGGTGCAGGTAAATGAATCCTTGAAGGTGGCAGGACAGGTAGATAAAGCTGTAAAAACGGCATATGAGATTCTAGGCTTTATAAATAGGGGCATAGAGTACAAGAGTCAGGAGGTTATGATTAACCTATATAAAACACTGGTTAGGCCTCAGTTAGAACACTGCGCCCAGTTCTGGGCACCACACTATAGGAAGGATGTTAAGGCATTGGAAAGGGTGCAGAGGAGATTTACGAGGATGGTACCAGGAATGAGGGACCTTGATTATGAGGAAAGGCTAGAGAGGCTGGGATTAGTCTCATTGGAGCAGAGAAGGTTATGAGGAGACCCAATAGAGGTCTTCAAAATCATGAGGGGATTTGATAAGTTAGAAAGGGAAAAACTGTTTCCACTGGTGGGTGTCGGTGATTCGAGGTCACAGATTTAAAATAGTCTCTAAAAGAAGCAGAGGGAAGGTGAGAAGAAATTTTTTCACGCAGCGAGTTGATTCGAATCTGGAACGCATTGCCTGAAAGGGCGGTTGAGGCCGATTCAATAACAACTTTTAACAACTAGGGGACAGGCCATCCTAGACCTTGTTTTTTGTAACGAAACAGGGCTAGTTGGCAGTTTAGGTATTAAGAATCCTCAAGGGCAGAGTGATCACAATATGATTGAATTCTGCATTAATTTAGAGAGGGATATAGTTAAATCCGAGGCAAGTATTCTGAATTTAAATAAGGCTATTTTTGTAGGTATGAGGAAAGATTTAGGTAAAATAGGCTGGAGAATAAGATTAAGAGGTAAAAATGTAGACCAACAGTGGCAAATATTTAAGGATGTAGTGCAAAATTCTCAGCAGTCGCATATTCCCTTGCAGAATAAGAGTACCACAGAGAAAGCAATTCATCCGTGGCTAACTAGAGCAGTTAGGGAAAGCATCAAATTAAAAGAAAAGGCTTCTAAAAGTGCCAAGAAAAGCAGCAAATCTGAAGATTGGGAAAGTTTTAGAAACCAGCAAAATAAAACTAAAAACCTCATTAAGAGCGCGAAAAAGGAGTATGAGGGTAAGCTAGCTAGGATCATTAAGTCTGATTGTAAAAGTTTTTACAAATATATTAAGAGGAATAGGCTAGTGAGGGTAAATGTAGGTCCACTTCAGTCAGAGACGGAAGAAGTTGTAATGGGGTAAAAGGACATGGCAGAGTGCCTAAATGGGTACTTTGCATCTGTCTTCACCCGAGAAGACACAACAAGTCTGCCAACAATAGAGATGCATCAAAGGGATAAGGAGAGGAAGCAACTTAGGGAAATTTTCATTAGTAGAGAATTGGTGCTAGTGAAACTGTTAGCACAAAAAAGTGACAAATCCCCTGGTCCGGATGGCTTGCATCCCAGGGTTTCAAAAGAGGTAGCTTATGAGATAGTGGAGGCTTTATGTCTGACCTTCCAAAATTCCATGGATTCTGGAACAGTTCCCATGGATTGGAAGATTGCAAATGTCACACCACTATTTAAAAAAGGTGGAAAGGAAAAGATGGGGAACTATAGGCCAGTTAGTCTCACATCAGTGATAGGAAAAATGTTAGAATCGTTGATTAAGGATGTGGTAGTGTGGTATAATTAGGCCAAGTCAACTTGGCTTTACAAAAGGGAAGTCATGTTTGACAAATCTCATAGACTTCTTTGAGGATATTTCCAGTAAACTAGATAAGGGTGAATCAGTGGATCTGGTCTATTTGGACTTCCAGAAGGCATTCGATAAGGTGCCCTATAAAAGGTTTGTCCAAAAGATAAGGGCCCATGGAATTGGGGGGAGCATATTAACGTGGATTGGGGAATGGTTAACGGGTAGGAAACAAAGAGTAGGGATAAACGGGTCCTTTTTCGAATTGGCGGGATGTGACTAGTGGAGTGCCACAAGGATCAGTCCTTTGGCCTCAGCTATTTACCATCTACATCAACGATCCAGATGAGGACATCGATGTTAAATATCTAAATTCGCGGATGACACAAAACTAGGAGGAAGTGCCAACACAGAGGACAACATTAAAAAAATGCAGCGAGACATAGATAGGTCAGGTGATTGGACAGGTAGGTGGCAGATGAAGTATAACGTAGAGAAGTGCAAAGTCATCCATCTAGGTAGCAAAAACAGTAGAACGGGTTATTTTTTAGAAGGGGAGAGCCATGATTGAATGACGGGGCAGGCTCGAAGGGCCGAATGGCCTACTCCTGCTCCTACATGTTATGTTATGAATGCGGTGGATGGGTATTTGAGGAGGACGGGTTTACAGAGTTATGGGGAAAGGGCTGGGGAGTGGGATTGACATTACATTGCTCTTTTCAAAGAGCCGGCACAGACTCGATGAGCCAAATGGCCTCTTTTTGTGCTGTACGATTCTATGATTCTATGAATTGATGACAGAGGCCATCCAGTACACTCTGCGAGGGGGGATGAGCCATATTGTGGTGATACAAATTTAGGGGTTAGAATCGTGTCAGTTGACCTGGCTGGTTTTGCGAAAAAATTATTCCATTCGTAGAGTTTCAAACCAATTAACACTTAGAGTGCTGGCTATGGACACTCCATAGAAATATCTGGAGGCCATGGATCCCACTTTTTCATTGCCATTGTTTGTTCCTGCAGGTAACTGATTTAACACGAGGGAGAAAAAAAATCAGGGTTTTGGCCGATAACCAGCATTCCAATGATGACTTCAGGCTCAAATCATTGCAAAGAGTGAGAGGGAGAGGATAATTCAAGTCTGTGAACCAGTCAATAAATGAAGACAGCAATTTGCCACATTTTTCAACAATAGGTTAACTAACATAGAACAATGGATACTATTCACCCCTGTTTTAATTACTGTCTTAATTTGCAGAGATATCTATTGATCCTGTATGGATCTAACATAATTAAACTGGCTGCAAATATTTGCCAATAAAATGTTGGAATCGAGCCAGCAATCTGTGTTTGTCTGAGTAGTCAGGTTCCTGAGCCAGGCAATCCTCCACGGCACAGCTCTTTGGCAGGGCTTGGAAGGGCAGACCATTTACGGGAGAAGGGAAACCTGCCACTCACCACTCATACGGGTAGGGTGGTGCTAGCTGGACAAGCAACAACAACAACAACAACAACAAGATTCCATTTATAGAGCACCTTTCACGTCGGGAGGATGTCCCAAGGCTCTGTACAGTTGGATCAGGACCCGAGCAGGGGGGAAATGATCAGGGTGAGGGGAGGGAAGGGAGGGAGCGAGGAGGGGGTAGAGAGTCGAGAGGGGAGCTGAAGGCTCGGTCAAAGAGAAGGGTCTTGAGACTGGCCTTGAAGGAGGAAAGGGAGGAAGCAAGGCAAAGGCACTGGGGGATAGAGTTCCAGAGCCTAGGGGCTGAGAGGCTGAAGACCCGGCCACCGATGATAGGACGGTTGGGGCGGGGGATGTGGAGCAGACCGGAGCCAGAGGAACGGAGGGTACGGGCAGGTAAGTAGGGGAGTTTCCATTCAATCATGGCTGATCTTCTAATCTAACTCCAGCTAATAACCTGACTGCCTTATCCCCATAACCCTTAATCCCTTTTGCAATAAGAAATCTATCTATCTCAGTCTTGAATATGTTCAAGGACTGAGTGTCAACAGCCCTTTGGGGTAGTGAGTTTAGCTTCTCCAAGCAGCAGGAAAGCTTGCCTGAAAGCTAAGTGGTTTTAGCTGGTTAGACTCCAGCAGTACCCGAGCACACACTCTGGGGTCCTGAAGCCTTGGCTCTCACTAACCTGCACCTAATACTTTCTGGAATTAGGTAAGCAGGATGTGATCCTCCAGGGAGAGAGTGTACATTCCATTCCAACTATTTAGCTCTGGAATTGCTATGTGTAGATGAGTGCATGGAATTCTCAGTCTTGTTTGATACTCTTAAGCATGGTGGTGGTTTTCTGCATGTGTCAGATACCCGGTTGACCAAAAATAGGAACACAAATAAAATCAAAGAATCTTCCAGGGCTGGGAGTCTGTCACAATGCATTACATGTAATTTTATTTGAGAAAGAAAGAATCTCTTCCTGGCTGAAGTGAAATAATAACTGAGTTTTATTTACCCACTTGGAGACAGCACTGCGAGTAACCACCCTATGTGAAAGGCTCTATATATATGCAAGTTGTTGTTGGCAGAATTACCTTACAATAATGTTCTTTTTCTCCAAATAATGTTTTATTATAAATTCAAATATTAGCCTACAAGAATAATTGACTTGAAGGGTTTTATCATTTTAAGCTTCTGCAATAGAAGGTCCCTTATTAACTAAACATATGTAGTCACAATTAATAAAGAGTCAAGAAGTTGGACATCTTGAAGATTCTTCACTGTGCTGTTCAAATAATATTATCCTGAAAGAAAGAAGATACAAGAAACTTTTCAGACTAGTGTGATCATTGTCAACTCTGTGACCTCCCAGCTCGGGTGCCTTCTTCCAGCTGCCAAGCTAGTTAAGCCTTGGCTAATGCTAAGATGCCTTACTCTACTGTGGTTACCATAGGTAGGGTTGGACTAATGTTCTGTTCAATTTCATTATCACTTCCCATGACATGCTTATTGCTTTAACCATATACCCCCAAATTCTGTTTACTTTCTTTTCTGCTGCTGTACACTGTGCTAATCATTTCAGTAAGCTATCCACTAATATCTCCAACCCCTTCTGTGTCATGACCTGCAAAATAATACTGTTTAGTTTATCATCCCACTATTTATTATCCATCCACAAACTCATTCCTCTGCCTTTGCCCAGAATAATTGACATTTGCCACTTGTCAGGCCAACTTTCTAACTTATCCAGACCCTGTTTCTTAAATACTGGCTATAAATAATGTCGGTGATGGTTATGAAACATCACAAACTTTATTACAATATGTGTTTGCTTGAAGGTATTGTTAGTTTATTTGGGAGTGACAAAGAGTAATATGATTGAATAAAATATCTCAGAGTACTAACCTGTCTGTGACGAATGCAAGTGCCACATAAACACCCAAATAGTCCATTAATAACCTGAATGAGGCACAGAAGCAGATCTATTGCACCAAGACCTAACAATGCTGAAAACAGGACCAGATTCCAAAGGACAATATTTTCTGGCTTTTTACAAAGCTCCCACGATGTTTGATTTAGCAAATAATGTTCTCTGTGGCAGAGAAAGCAGAAAGTTATTACTAAGGTTATCAACAACAACAAGATTACATTTGTATAGCACCTTTCATAATAATAATAATAATAATCCTTGCATTTGATATAGCGCTTTTCACGTCGGGAGGACGTCCCAAAGCGCTTCACAGAACACACTGTAAAGTGAATTGACTGTATATTTGTGGGCGAACGCGGCAGCCAATTGCGCACAGCAATGTCCCACAACAGTCGTAGATTGAAAATGACCAATTTATTATTGTTTTTTTGGTTTTGGAGGGATTATTATGTCAGGAGGACGTCTCAAGGCGCTGGACAGAGTACAGCATTTCAGACCTGAGCTGGGGTCAGGGAGGGAGAAGGGAGGGAAGGGGGGGTGACCGATAGCATGGTCAAAGAGGAGAGTTTTGAGGCGGGACTTACAACAACAACAACAACAAGATTCCATTTATAAAGCGCCTTTCATGTCAGGAGGACGTCCCAAGGCGCTGCACAGTTGGGTCATGACCCGAGCAGGGGGGAAATGGTCAGGGTGAGGGGAGGGAAGGGAGGGAGCGAGGAGGGGGGAAATGGTCAGGGTGAGGGGAGGGAAGGGAGGGAGCGAGGAGGGGGAAGAGAGTCGAGAGGGGAGCTGAAGGCTCGGTCAAAGAGAAAGGTTTTGAGACCGGCCTTGAAGGAAGAGAGGGAGGAAGCAAGGCGAAGGCACTGGGGGATAGAGTTCCAGAGCCTAGGGGCTGAGAGGCTGAAGGCCCGACCACCGATGGTAGGGCGATTGGGGCGGGGGACGTGGAGCAGACCGGAGCCGGAGGAACGGAGGGTACGGGCAGGTAGGTAGGGGACTTAAAGAAGGTAAGGGAGGGGGTGAGGCAGTATGGTTGGAGGATGGAATTCCAGAGGTTGGGGGAAGAGTGGCTGAAGGCTCTCCCGCCAATGGTGGGATGGGGGACGTGGAGCAGGCCAGAGCGGACGGGTTGGTAGGGGGTTAGGAGGTCACAGAGGTAGGGTGGGGCGAGGCCATGGAGGGCTTTGTAGGTGAGGACCTGGATCTTGAACTGGATCCTCTGAAGGATAGAGAGCCAATGGAGTCGGACGAGAGTGGGGCAGATTGGGTCACGGAGTTTAGTGCGGGAGAGGACACGGGCTGCAGAGTTCTGGATTATCTGCAGCCTGTGGAGGGAGCAGTTGGGAAGGCCGACAAGCAGTGCGTTTGCATAGTCGAGCCTGGAGGTGTTGAAGGCATGAACAAGAGTTTCAGTGACCTGAGGGGTGAGATAGTGGCGGAGTCTATTGATATTGATCAATTGCTGTATCAATAATAATATGAGGAAATATAATGTAAACACCTCTGCTATGAATGATGTATCATCTATCTCCCTTATTTTCAAAATGTTTTCAATTTTTTTAAAGGTAATAAAAATAATAATCCTTGAATTTGATATAGCGCTTTTCATGTCTTCTCGATGTCTCAAAGCGCTTCACAGAATATACTGTAAAGTAAATTGACTGTATATTTGTGGACGAAACGCGGCAGCCAATTGCGCACAGGAGTGTCCCATAAACAGTCGTGGATTCAAGTGACCAATTTTTATTGTTTTTTTCTTGAGGGATTATTATTAGGCATGTAGAGTAAGGAAACTTGCCCAAGGTTTCGCCCTGCTGTAAATGGAACCCAGGTAACGCTCGCTTGCAAGGCGAGTGCTCTAACCACAGGTACATATGATTAGACAATTTTTCTAAAGATTTGGGATTGTTATTTCTTACATTTACTTCTCAGCAGTCTGGTCTTTGGCAACATTGTTAAATTTCTTTGCACTAATTGTATTAATCATCTTTTAACTTGTAATGCTGTAACTTGACACATTGAATGTGGGAAAAGTAGTCTTGACCCATCACTGCATGCGCACTTACTGGCGGCAGTGATGAAGTACCATGTGCATACAATGTAGATTATTCATGAAATCAGATTTTATGCGACTTATACAAGTTTGGCTGCAACTCGGACTTTGCGTAAGTCATATTAAATCTTATGGTCCTGACACATAAGACTTATGTGAGTTTTACTGTAATGCACCCTCATTTAGGGATTCTTCATTCTCATTTTGTGCCTGCTCATTTAGGCTTAGTTTATGCTTACGTTAAAATATCATTTCTGAAAGGATATTCAAATTTTCCATTTCCAGTTTCACAAAGTGGGCCTTGTGCTAGAGCATATCCTGAGATTACTGTGCAGTAACCAGCCCCAATGAAACCTCCTGCAGACAGTAATACGGACAACATCATCTGAAACATAAAAATAATATGTCAGCAATGGAAAGACACTCAAAAAAGTTCATGACTAGAACAATTTTGATCAAAAGGCTATATAAAATACATAAATGTGCTATGCTAATGTTATACAAGTGGAGCCAACTCCCCTACTCACATTGGCCTCCAAAAAGGCCGCTCCCTCTCAAATGAAGCTCTGACAGTCCACAACCTCCTCCTGGACGAGCAAATAGACATTCTCGGCATCACAGAAACTTGGCTATCCCTCAGTGACCTTGTCAAAACTTCTCCGCCTGGTCACACTTCTCAGCACACCCTCCCTCCCAACCAATACAGAGGCAGGGTGACCCTCATCTCCAAAACCTCCCTTGGTCTATCCCCCTATTCCTCTGGCTGTTTCCCCTCTCTTGAATACCTTACCCTCTACCATCCCTCCTCTCTCTCCTTCAAAATTCTTCTAGTTTACTGCTCCCCCAAACCTCCTGGTTCCTTCCTCATGAATATCTCTCTCTCCTGTCATTCCTGTCCCTCTACACAAAATGCCTGCTTCTAATGGGCGATTTCAACCTTCATCTCAATCCTCTTGCCCCATCTCTGGAGTCCTGTAGCTCAGTGGTTAGAGGACTCGCTTTGCAAGCGAGAGACCTGAGTTCAATTCCAGGCAGGGCGAAACCTTGGGCAAGTTTCCTTACTCCACAAGTCTAATAATAATCCCTACAAAACCAAAAACAATAATAAATTGGTCATTTTCAATCTACGACTGTTTGTGGGACATTGCTGTGCGCAATTGGCTGCTGCGTTCGCCCACAAATATACAGTCAATTCACTTTACAGTGTGTTCTGTGAAGCGCTTTGGGACGTCCTCCCGACGTGAAAAGCGCTATATCAAATGCAAGGATTATTATTATTATTATCATCTCCTCCAGCTTCATCACCCTCCTCTCACCTTAAAACTCACATCCACGTAAACTCCCTAACCCACAACCGTGGCCACTCCCTCGATCTCGTCATCACCCACGGCCTAAACATGACTGAACTGTCCATCACAGACAAGGCCATCTCATACCACTTCCTCATCTCCCTCTCCACTCATATCACCCTCCTCTCCCTCAAGCCCTCCATCATCTTTTTCTGCCCATGGAAAAAACTTCCCCTGATTCCCTCACAAATGCCCTCTCATCCTCGGACCTTCTCTCCCTCTGGCCTTCCATCCACAGTGATCCAGACGCAGCCATCAAGCTGCTGAATGATCATCTCTCCTTAACTTTCAGGTGTGCCTTTCTTTAATTGTACAATAAACAGGAAAAGATGCATAGTAAACATGAAAAAAAGGATATCAAATAGCTATGTAACTATAGTTGCTTCTGTGCAAAAATAGTAACTACAGTAGTTGCACATCTCAATGAGCAATGAAACTTTCTTGCCACTGTCTTGGTGCAGTGACTGTTCTCCATAAAGCTTCATTTGACGTCTGGTAACCGAGCTATGGTTTCCTTCTCACTGCAGTAATACACAAAAAACAGCTGATTTCTAAGAATCCCTTTCAATGAACCCATATTATACCTGTCCTGAACATAATGTACTAGCTGATGTAACAGGAAGATTTATCAAAATATCTCTATCGGATATTCTATTTTGTGAGTGGGTAAGTGAGATCTCAATTTCTATGCCAGTGAATTTGCTGTGATCAATGGCAGATTTCAGTGCAGGTAATCAGTGCTTCAATTTATTCATCATGAGGGTGATGGTCACATAGCTGAGTATTGAACACTTAGTAGAAAGTACAAAATACACAAAAGAATTAAATTCTTTTTTTTTTGGAAAGATAAAACCTTACCCCACATCTGTTACCACAGCATCCATCTCCACCAGCCCAAAACATCATGAATGCTGGTAAAAGGATCTGTAAAAAAAAACAATAATAATTATAATGCTTGCATTTGATACAGCGCCTTATTGTATTGTTGAGCTGTCTCAAACTGCTTCACAGGATATAAAATAATGTGGCTATGTGTATTTTGTAGGTGAATGCAGCAGCTAATTTTTGAGCTATGTCCCACAAATAACTGTGGAGTAAATGACCAATTTTATTTTCGGGGTTGTGGGCTAGGACACTGAAATAAACTCTCTTCTTTTTTCGAAGAGTACCATGGAATCGTTAATGACCACCTGGACAGTGAGATCAGAATATTAATAATATTATAATAGTCCTTGCATTTGATATAGCGCCTTATCACGTCTTCGAGACGTCTCAAAAAGCTTCACAGAATATTCTGTAAAGTTAATTGACTGTATATTTTGTGAGGGCAAAGCAATAGCAATTGCACACAGCAGTGTTTCACAAACAGTCAATGATTGATTGACCAAACTATTTTAACTTTTTAAAGGGATTATTATCCTCGGAAAGCGATTTGTCAATCGACGAATAACCGGGTTCTTACTTACTGCTCGGTAAACAGAGGCATGTAGAGTAAGGAAACTTGCCGAATGTTTCACCCTGTCAGGGAATCAAACCCAGGTCCTCTCGCTTCAGAGGCGAGTGCTCTAACCAATACGCTATAGGACTCCAGAAAAATTTAAAATAAGATAAATTCTACACAAATTTCCAGGATTCAGACCATATGAATGTATGAATTCTTAATAAATTTTACGCTTTGAGAAGCAGTTTTGATCTTATTAGTTACGTGACCTGTTTTCCTTTGAAATAAAGGTTCATTTTAGTTTGAACAAAATCGGCAAAGACTGCAACTTCTTTAAAATGTACAATGAGTATTCAGTTACCATGTTGTTGTTTGAAATGCAAAATAGTTGCATATATTTTATGGCATAGTGATGTTTAAAAAAACTGGTATATCTACTGGTTGTTGCAAATGTTTGGCAGATGAATATTGAAAATGAACTCACCAGTATTCCACCGCCAGCAATACCAGGGAAAAACCAAACAAAGTCAGTTATCTCATCAATTTCAATTATTTGTCCATTTGGGAAATAAAGGAGGATATTTGCCACGATGGAGCACAAAGCAAGTGGAAACAATGCTCCTCCAATACATTTTGCACATTTCCCTGTGCACATTGTGCTTGAGTGCTGGAAAAAGAATTCAAGCAACAGAATATGTGTTCATTTCAAGGATCTAGCATAGTTGATAACTTAGTATGTAACTATATTTCTGTACATTACATCCCACACAGCTGAATACAGAATGCCATGAATAGCAAGTTAGAGTGTCTCTCCACCCTATTTGCCCCACGACTGCCATTTATTTTGCCCTCGCTATCTGGAACTCCATTCCTGGAGTCCCTCCGAGTCACTCCCACCCTCCTCTCTTTTCAAGATCTAACTCTTTGACCGCACTTTCGGTCATCTTTCCCCTCCACACCTCCCTTGGCTCCCACACCCAGTTCAGGTGCCCAGCCAGCAGTGTCCATTGCATTGAGATGTCCTCCCACATGATAAAGGTACTGTGTAAAAGTTATGTTATGGTTCTTGAAGGAAAACACAAAAATATTACTCATGCGGCCTGTGGACTTTCCAGACACTTGTCCCTCAGCAGCCAAAAGGTTGGACCACCCTGAGCTAAACGATTACAAACAAAAAAGATCTTTGGGTACTGGTTTGCTTTACCTAACATGTACGAGAAATGAAATGCAGTGCACATAGACTGGAGCACCAAATTTTCTAAGCCATTCTGGATCTTAACACAATATTCACCATCAGAGCAGCCAAAATAATCTTAGTAGTTTATTAATGTTCAGCAATGTCATAAAACTGTTCTGTAGAAACATGTTGCAAAGCTTACTCAATTCCTGCTTTGTTAAGGTATTTCCCAAGAACTGACATTCGGCTTGCTTAATGTTATTAAAATATATTATAAGTTGATTTTATAAAAATACCTTTGCAAAGCGATTGTGGAAAGTGAATGTTTAGCTCAGCTGTGAATTTCTCAGATTATCCACTTCGGTCTGCTTGAATGAAATCCTTACAAGACCTCTGCGTTAACTGGTACCGAATCCTGTTCTGATCATTCACCCACTTGGTAGTTGTTTCTTCTCTACTATGTGCTATTAAACAGTGCTATCTGGAAATGGCATGCAAACCTTGAACATTCCCAATGAGTCAGGCTTTATGCAAACAGTGACTCAGCTCAACAAACAAGAGTACTTAAAAGCATTTTTTGTACCCTTGTACAATATGCCACTGACCCAGACAATTAGTTCAGTTCTGCTTGCAGTCTGGAATTTTGCATTTTATGAGGATCAATTTTTGTTTTGTTTCAACTGCTACTTCATCTTTTCTTTATGAAGTTAAGACTGTGTGATTTCATTATAACAGTGTGGAAACCTATCTCACAGTGCTTAAGGGAGCATTCAAATTAAATTACTGAGAGTTCCATGAATGTATGGAAATTTCTGTTTGACTCCTTTGGGAAGGAAGCACTCTGCTTATCTAATTCTGGAGAGTCTAAGCACAGGTTGGCAACAGCCAAGGTTTGTAGACTCCTTTGGGACACTGCTGGAATTCAATGCATCCTTGTAAAAGCACACAGCTGCCATTGTGAACACTGTGGCATGCTTTCCACTGCTAAGACCACCTTAGGGTCTCAGCTTACCATCAAAGAGACTGCTTAGTTTCCCCCTCCACACAATCACCCAGGAGAATAATCACCAGTGTTTGGGATAGTGGGTGAATGCAAAGTCAAAATTAATTTAAGTATTTTAGTTTAACCAGATTCAAAGGACATTGAACTGAAGGTAAACCCTTAAGAGCAAAATATTAATTTACTTTGCTTAACATTACTTTCTGTTCTTCCCATTTAGTTTAACGTATCTCAAATGGGGATTGCTTTCAGTAACTGGAAGTAGAGCATGCAGACCCTCAGGAACTTCATCTTTCAAAGTAAATTGTGTCGGCATAGAATACCCTTGGTCGAAATGACACTCTTCGTTTGTTTAGCCAGATGTCCAACGTGTGATAAAGAGTCCTTTTAAGAAAACTCATTTGAAATAGATCCCAATTAAAGGGAAAATTGGGCACACATTTGCATCCATTGTAGAAATGCATCAGGGCCCAAAGTGAAGGTGTTCTCCATGGCTGAGATAAATAGATAAAGATTTATCTCGGTTCTATATTAAAATTGTGCAAGTTAAACTGATTGGAACAGAGAAATATTATGAAATATTTGTAAAGGGAAGTAAGTACAATGATGTACAAAGATTTGAGATAAAAATGTAAGGATGCTTAAAAATAACTTCCTTTCCAACCTTGTGTAAATGTTTAACATGCATCTGTGGCAGTCACTGCGGTTCTGTTAATTTATAAAATTGAGGTTTTATTGATTATATGCCATTCTTATTTGAATCCCCCCCACCAAGTGTATTTATCTGCAAATGACGTCAAATGTTTGAAGTGCTCAGATAAACTTGGTAAGGCTTTCCCTTATCTAATCAGTTAAATGTTAACGATTTACTAGTCTTATTCTAGAGAAAAAAATACTGAATTCTTATTGAACACGGTCTTGTTCGGTAATGAACCCGGCCTAACTGGTTGCCAATCTCAGTTTTGCATCTTCTCATTCAGATGAGACATTAAACTGAGGTCTCATCTCTCTGTTCAGGTGGGTGTCATAGAGCCTGCGGCACTATTCCAAAAGAGCAGGGAGTTTCTCCTGGTGTCCTGGCTAACAAATCTCTCAAAATAACATTGGTCGCTCACTCCATGGCTGTTTGTGGGACATTGCTGTGCACAATTGGCTGTCATGTTTCACCCACAAAATACACAGTAAATCCACTTTACAACATATCCTGTGAAGCGCTTTGAGACATCTCACAACGAAATAATATAATAATAATAATCCTTGCATTTGATATAGCACTTTTCACATTGAATGCAATTAATATTATTATTATTAATGAAGCTAGTGAATCAACCCACAATCGATGCTGACACTCAAATAAAGGGCTAGAGGAGCATTGCATCAGCATAGATCCTGTCCTGAGGATTAGATTAACCCTCCATGGTCTTGCTCCTCCCTACTTCTGCAATCACCTAACCCCCTACCATCCTGCTCGCTCTCTCTGCTCAGCGGGTGCGGCCTGCTTCACGTCCCCATCTCGCTCGCCCACTATTGGCGGGTGGGCCTTCTGCCACTCTGTCTCCGCCCTCTGGACCTCCATCCCGCAGTCTCAATCCGTCTCAATTCCTCCCTTGCCTCCTTCAAGACCCATCTCAAAACCCTCCTCTTCGACCGTGCTTTCGATCTCCCTACTTCCCCCTCCACCCTCCCCAACCCCCAGCTGGGGTCTGAAACTCTGCCTGTCCAGCTCCTCCCAACCTGAAAGGCGCTATACAAATGTAATTTTCTTGTTGTTTTTGTCGTTGTAGATATTAAATCGAGTTCACAACTGTCCTTGGACATTAAAGATCACTTAAAAAAAGAATGTATTTCTCCTGGTGTCCTGGCCAACAATCCTCGAGATAGAAATTGGCCATTTACTTATTGGCTGTTTGTGGGATATTGCTGTGCACAATTTGGCTGCTTTGTTCACCTACAAATGCAGTCACTCCACTCCCCAGTAATTCTTTGAGATGTGTTGATGACATGTTGAGGTGATATACGAAATGCATATATAAGTGGCACAATCAGTCTTTTTATGTACGATTTTGTTTGTTCGCAACATTTGTAATGCTATCCAAAGGTTCAAATCTGTGCTTGTCAGATGTCAAATGGCCAACTAGCAACTATGTGTAAACTATCTCCACGGTGAGGTGCTTGGCAACGGAATATCAGAATTGAGTCAACCCTCTGTGGCAACCTCAGTAGTCCAGTTCCTTAGCCAGGTGGGTCCACAGTACCCCTAGGGAATGCATCCCTAAAGGGAGAGAGTGTGCATTACATTCTAAAAATGGGAATTTCCATGCGTGGGTGGCACACGTGGAACTCTTAAATCTGGTTTAAATATTGTTAAGGATGGTGATGGGTTTCCACATGTGCAAGATCCCTGACTGGCAAAAAAAAACTCCAACAAATGAATACCCTGGGATCCGTCAAGCTCTTGCCAACGTCCTCCTAAATGTCTGAAATTAGGTAATCAGGATGTATTCCTCCAAGGAAATTCCATTCTAGATACAGTGAAATTTCTGTGTATAAATGGCATATATATGTCAAATTACAGTCTGAGTTGAATACGTTTAAGCATGATGGTGCATTTCAGCATGTGTCAGATATTCAGATGACCAAAAAAAATGAAATGAATAGTTAATTATTTTGAATTTGTGGATTAATTTGGACGAGGAGGAAATATAAACCAGGATAATTGGAAGGTCGTCCCATATATCTTTGATATTACAGGGGGAAGGGGATTTTTCTTAATGTCCACATAAAACGCAAAGCAGATAAAATTACATAAAAAGCAAATTATCTACAAATAACTGAATAGCAAATAAATGTGTTTGCAATGTTGAATATTGTTATGTGACAAAATTAATATAACAATTGTTATTAATTATAAGTTACAAATTGAAATGCATATCTTTCAAATGACATTTTTATTAGAATAGATAAATTAGCATTGATTCAGAGCAACATTGGAAATCATTTTGTAATCAATGTAAACAGGATTTTAGATGAATTATCATATGACTGAAGTGTCTAATTTGCAATTTTTTAAAACTGATTTCTTAACGAGAAATGTGCATCTATAGAACTCCTAAAACAAAATCATCTGGAGAAATAATTTTGAATACCTCTATTAAATCTCTCCTCAACCTTCTCTACTCTGAGGAGAATAATCCCAGCCACTCTTGTCTCTCCACATAATTGTAGTCCCTCATCTCTGGTCTAATTGTTGTAAATATTCTCTGCATCCTCTCCAAGGCCCAGACATTCTTCCTAAAATGTGGTGCCCAGAATTTGAATACAATACTCCAGCTGAGGCCTAACCAGCGATTTGTAAAGGTTCAACATAACTTCCTTGCTCTTATACTCTATGCCTCTATTTTTAAGTCAAGGATCCCATATTGCTTTTTTTCAAATATCTTTGTGAACTTGTCCTGCCACCTTCAAAGAACTATGTATGTGAACCCCCAGATCTCTCTGTTTCTGCACGTCCTTTAAAACTTACCATTTAGTGTATATTGCCTGTTCTCATTCCTCTTCCCAAAATGAATCTGCATTAAATTTCATCTGCCATGTGTTTGCCCATTTCACCAGACTGTCTATGTCCTCCTTTAATCTGCTACGATCCTCCTCATTGTCTACTACATTTCCAAGTTTTGTGTCATCTGCGAACGTAAAATTTTGCTCTCTATACCTGAATCCAGGTCAATAATATATATTAAAAGGAATGGTGGTCCTAATATCAACCCTTGGGAACACCACTGTATACCTCCATCCAGTCTGAAAAACATCCATTCACTACTACCTTCTGCTTTCTGTCTCCCAACCAATTTTGGGTCCATGCTGCTTCTGTTACCTTAATCCCATGGTCTTAAATTTTGCTAACAAGTCTATTATGTGGCACTTTATCAAATGCCTTTTGAAAGGCCATATACACAACATTAACTGCACTACCTTCATCAACCCTCCCTATTACTTCATCAAATTTTTGATCTGTTTGCAATTAATTACGGTCAGGGTCAGGGGTATCATGTAAACAATTTCTTCCTCTGGGGCAGACACCATCTCCTGAGGTTTGACAGTAATTTTGAAAACATCCAGTCACGTAGGCACCAACTTTCTCTCAAATAAAAATGAGGCGAAATAGGAGAATATCACAATGGAAAGTAAGGACAGCAACATTGTGAAGGTTCTAAAGGGAAAGAGATGCACAAATGTTCAATTTTCAAAGGAAATGTCTGGATATTGAATGATGGGTGGGAATTGAAATGAAGGTTCACCAGCTAATACTCTTACTGTGAGCCCAGTAAGATATCTTGCAGCTGATCCATATGCATTTGTGTTAGGAATGAAGAGAACACAGACAAGTTGTGGAAACAATATGGAATAAATGAATTCTGCACA